AGGAAGATGAGGAAAAAAAGAAACAAACAAAAAATAAATACAAACCTAAATGGAACACTTTTGGTCGACTTTTTTTTTAAACAAAATGAAAAATTCTTGTTTCATTTCTAACTTTCCATGGAAAATACTTGCCATTTGTCAGCCTGGACTAATTCTGATCCTCTAAGCACAGTTACATTCCTTGGGGGTTTAGGAACATTTGCCATTAAAAGGACTAAGGTGAGGTCTACACTAGAAAATTCCTGTATAGCTACACCAGCAAACCATCCTATTGTAAGTGCAGCTTATACCAGCAAGGGTGTGCTTTTTGCCAGTATAGTTTATGCCAGTTCCTATGCCAGGATAAAAAGAACGTTTATAGTGCTATAACTGCATCTACACTAGAAACTTCTGCCCTTACAGTAATGTATCAAAAAGATACATATATCACACTCCTAACCCACCAAAGTTTCTGTTGCAGACTTGGCCTGAATTCCCTGTACTTCTTCGAAAATTTCAACTTCTCAGTTTCTGCTGCTTAGTGGAACTGAAGCCCATAAACTTCCTCAAATTTGTGCCATGGCTGAGTCATCCATTCCTTTTCTTTCAGCCAGTTCACCTGAGTGGCATTTGTAAACCAGGATTTGTCTGACTGGAGCCTGCAGCACCTTCAAATCACACACCATCCTTCCTACAAGGAAACAGCAACCTAATTATACCTATAAAAGCATATTGTAGCCCTGCCAGTTGGCTAGCAAGAAGAAATTACTTTAACACACAGGTGGGTACCATTACACCCATCATTCAGAGTAGGCTGAAAAACAGGAACTTTGAGGGCTCGTGTACGCAGGGAAAATTACGAGCATAGCTATACTGGTATAATTATATAGCTCTGCCGGTAACTTTCCCTTTGTAAACAAGCCCGTAAGCCACAAAGTTTCAGGAAAACTTGGCTCAATAATAATTACAAAAAAACCCCAACTCTCTGGCCCTGGGGCAGAAAGCCTTGGTGAATGAAGTTCCTACTAGTACCTGTACCATGTGTACAGCTTCATTTCCCACTCCAGCTCACAGCCCATCACCATTTAGAAATAGATGTAATACTCCTGTTGTGCCCAGTATCCTGTCCAAAACCATGTCGGCCTTCAGCTGTAAAAAAGCCCTTGTCAAGGGTCCACTTGCCCTTTTAACACATGGGGTGCAGACTATGGGAGGGATGGGTTGCAGTTTTTAACAAGAACAATGTGGGGAAGCCTTGGCATTGGAAGGGTTTGCCTTCTGTTCTGCAAGCTCAGCTCAGTCGTAGCACCTGCGGGCATCTCATCAGCTCTTATAGCTAAGCAGGGATCTGCCAGGTAAGGATTTGGATAAGTGAACCTGGGGAAACCAAGATGGTACAGGAGCTGTTTGTCATGTTGTTTGGGTGGCGGAGCAACATGCATAAAAGGATGTTGTCAGGGTTTTCTGCCATCCAGGTTAATGAGAATTGGCTCGGTGGTGGGTAGTTCTTGTTGCCCACTTGTTTGTTCAATGTAATGTTTCCGATCACTTCCTCTTGCTAGGTAAGTGGTTCTCGTAAGTGACAAGGTCAAAATGTCCTCTGTACTTTCTTTCTGCTTCCTTGTAGACAAGGTGGTTTGTGGTTTTAAGATACAATGTGCAACATTCAAGTAAATTCTGCCTATTAGAAGGAGTGAAGGAGATGGTGCCCCAGCCATGGTGTTAATTTGACAGGGCTAATCCCCAGAATTAAGTTTTATGGAGCTGAGCTTTGCTGCTTTTCATGGAATAATGTATTGGAATTGTTTGCAGATATTTAATCAGCTCTAAACTGTAAGGCCCATTAGCAGAAGAATGACCCAGCACTTCCAGCCATGTTAAATGTTTAATTGTTTGTGTTTACAGGATTAGAATTAACTAGATCTTAATGCATAATTGGTACAAATAATTCATAAACCCATGACATAACTTCACCTTTTTACTGTGTGCTCCATTTGTCATTTTCTCAAATTATTTGTTTGAAATTAAGATACTGAGAAATTCCTGGGAATAATTCTGATCCGTAGCTAGAGCTGGGTGGAACAAAAAAAAAAATATTATTAAAAAAAAATGCAGATTTGGCAACACTGAAACATTTTGTGAATTCACGTTGGTTTCATTGAATTGTTTTGGTTGAAAAAAAATTAAATGTTGCATTTTGACACTGTTGCGATGAAAGCTTTAGATTTATTTTGTTTGAAATGCCTTAGTTTTGAAATTTCCTTTAATTTTGTTTAAAAAATAACATTACCAAAAGGCTCAAAATTAAAATTGTTTTACATTTTTCAGAATTCCCAGTGACCCAAAAAGTCCATTGTTCACACAGATCTCTCCATCACCCATTTGCAACCCCTTTGCAGTGGTGAGCATTCAATAGGTGAAGCTGGAGCTGTTCTGATAGGGCCTATTGCTCATGAGGGGCCTGACCCTGCAATGGCAAACCCCGTACTGATGGACTCAATGGAAGGATTGGGGCCATGCTTGGTTCTGGAAGAACATAACTATCGAATCGGGTTTCCTGTGTGAATACTCGTGATTAGAAATTCAGTATTTGCTTTCCCCAAATATTCTCAGATATTTGCTGTTCCTCTCAGTAAATACGCTGACTGGAAATCTACGTGAAAAGCACAGGGTGGGAGCACGGATGGAACAAAATCATTGAAACGTTCACACTATCATGGAACACTTTTTCAATATTTGCCCAGGTCTGGAATGAGCCCAGACTAGCACTTGGCATAGTAAGATGCTCCCCGATGAGGGTGGACTGATGCTACCAATCTTTTTCACATAGACCATCAAACAGTCCTCAGAGGGGAATGATTTTTTGGCTACTACTAGACTAGCCCGATTGTAATAGTGAACCTGGTCAGGAGTCATAGCTCACGACATCCATTCCTGTTGTAAACAATCTACAGGTTGCTGCAGCATTAAAAGAATCCATTGGAACCTTTGCCTTTGACTGGCATATCCTCATGATCAAGGCTGCAAGTCTGTCACGGAGGTCACAGAAGTCATGGATTCCGTGACTTTCCGGGACCTCCGTGACTTCTGCAGCAGCTAGCTGCACCGGCCGCTGCTGGGCAGTCTCGGGCCACTGCGCTCCCCCCCCCCCCCCCCCCAGCACCCCCCCCCCCCCGCCCCCCCCGCCCCCCGGCCCCCCGGCGCCCCCCCCCCCCCCCCCCTTCCCCCCCCCCCCCAAGCACTCATGGCACCCCTGGGCCGCCCTCTGCCCCAGAGCACCCATGATTTAGTCAGGGGTATCTAGTACAAGTCATGGACAGGTCAGGGGCTGTGAATTTTTGTTTACTGCCCATGACCTGTCCATGACTTTTACAAAAAATACCTGTGACTAAAACGTAGCCTTAGTCATGAGAACTGAAAAACTCTCATGAACTTTATCCTCTGTGTAACTTTGGACAGTGTGTGCAGAGACGTCGTGTCACAGTGAAAGGAGGTGACAGCCCTTGTGTAACTGCTTTACTACTTGTATTCCAGTAGGCCCCAAGGTCCTGCTGCAAGCATATAGCGAGAGAGAGTGCCTGCCCTGTAGGGCGAGATCCACAAAGGGACTCAGGCATCACAATCCTAGCTCATAGGAGCCCTGCTATCTAGTGGAATCCTCAGCCCTGACTGAGGCACCCACGGCGTGGGGAGAGAGAGGTGCCCACGACTGGGATTCTCAGAAGGCAGCATGCTGAGCGGGGAGCTGCCTGGGCTGGCCAGGAGTGAAATACAGAGGAAAAGGGTGGAG